CGGAATAATGATCCCATAGCACTTTGTCCTCCAAAGCACTTTACATTTTTTAGATCTGCTCATATGCCCTTCCACAAACGCCACTATCACCTTTCATCCATGTCCCAGCATTATTTCCATTTTAACTTTACATTTGTCCTTCCCACTGTTTTTTAATTGCGTGTTGTCTTATTGATAATGTTGTATATTTTATTGTCTATGTTTTAATTTTAATTGCTTGTACTGTTGTTGTTTTGCTTATATTGTTGTATTCGGCCTCGGCCTCATGTAAGCCGCACTGAGTCCCTTGGGGAGATGGTAGCATGGTACAAATAAAGTGTTGTTGTTGTTGTTGTTGTTGTTATTATTATTATTATTATTATTATTATTATTATTATTATTTTATATGTATTGTAGATGGGGCCTAAGGGGCGGAGAAGGAGCTGCAGAGAGAATCTGGTACATTTCAAGTGTAGCTTTAAAAGTGGAAGGATAGGGAGTATTTGGGGTTGTCCCTGCCAAATGAAGTCGGATAGAAAATATGTTGAACAACTCTATGATGACAAGAAAGAAAAATATATGCGGAGACAGGTCAAATGCCGGGCTTTTTCTTAATTGTAATTTATCAGACAATCAGTATGAGCAGAAGAGCACAGTTTAAGGGAAGTGAATGTGAGAGCTTGGAAAAAACACAGATTGTTAAGAATAGTTACCACCAACATGAATGTTGATTCTACAACATACTTGTACAGTGATGCAAGGGCAGATTATTCAGGAACGTAGACTCCAAGAATCCACATAAGAGAAAAATATATACAATAGCTATCCTGTGGGAGTATTCTTTAGAATACATTTGTTTGTGTTCCTAGGAACAATCTACAACATGTACAATTAGACAAGGTCTGTCTGAGGCCCTTCCACACTGCCCTATATCCCAGGATTTGATCCCAGATTATCTTCTAATCCCAGATTATCTAGCAGTGTAGATTCATATAATCCAGTTTAAAGCAGATAATCTGGGATCAGATCCTGACATCTAGGGCAGTGTAAATGCAGCCTGAGGAGTTCTCTATAAGCAATGGGTGTGCATCAGTGTTGAAGACAAAGTGGGACAGCACAGCTAACTGAGAAATACAAAAGAAAAGTGCAAAGGAGATAAATAGATGTAGCTCTACACTAATTGTTGTTACTGTGGCTTCACGTCACTTCCATCTTATGGCAACCTGTAGGTGACTCTATCACAAGGTTTCCTTGGCAAGATTTGTACAGAGATGGTTTGCTATTACACCCGTTTCAAATACGTCAGCAACTGTTCTTGTTTAACACTTCAGCTAGCTTGGAAAAGACTGGTGGATAAAACTAGGGTAAAGTTATTTGTCCAATTTAATCAGACCCCAAATCTGCCAAGCCCTGGAGGGACACAATTGTTTGAAAATGGACTTGATGTCCATCAGCAGCTCCGGTGTGAAAAATCTCAGTTTTGATTTGGATGTGTTTCTACAAATTTAACTTGAGTTTTCTTCCCATTCATATTTCATACGGCCCTTTCACATAGCCCTATATCCCAGAATATCAAGTCAGAAAATCCCACATTATCAAAGTGTGGACTCAGACAACCCAATTCAAAGCAGATATTGTGGGATTTTCTGCCTTGATATTCTGAGATACAGGGCTGTGTGGAAGGGCCCAGAAACATGAGAGTTCACCTCTTTTCACACAGATGGGCAAAGAAAAATGTCTCCTATTTTTTTAATTGAGACATTCTTGCTAATGTACATATTTCTACCATGGACCACAGCTTGTGCGTGTTTATTTTCCCCAAATGTTAAGTCTAAGTCATATTTCTAATGGGTTTACTGTTTTGTGCATTTGTTTGAAATGTTAAGCAAGCTTTGCAATCATCCTAATTTCTTAGATTGGCACATTTATTTCACCACTGTCTCAGAAGGTACCAAAAAAAGAATAATTTTAGTGAGATAATAAATTCTTTTCCAGCTTAACCAGCAGTTCTTTCAGACTCAGGCCCCATCTACCTTGGTCATTTAATGCAGTTCAATCCTAGCTTCAGACTGCAGTAGCCAGTCAACAAACATCCACAAAAATCTGCGCAAGAAGGCCCTTTTCACATTTCCCAAAACTGAAAATTCTCATCTTGTTTTTACAATAATCCTTGAGGGAAGCTACAGGAATGTATCTGTCTCCTTTTAGCCCCTTGAGACCACCATGGCTCTTCTGTGTAAGTATAGAAATGCAGACTGATGTCCACTGCTTTTCCTTTTCCCTGCCAAAATCCTGGCTTCTTGATTTATTTTTCTGATAAATATGAGCTTTCTGAAATTCTTTGCAGTTGCAGCCACAATCCCTGTAGATGTGAAAATTGCAATTAAAATGTTGCTATTTTTACTTTACCTAAAAGAGCAACTCTCTAAGAATCTTCGATCCTCCAGTATCACACTAGAGCTGAAAGAGTAGACAAAGAATATGCATCCCATCTGAAATCCTGTGGTTGCCTCCTATAAAACCCTGGGACTTGTACTTTAGAGGAGGGGTCTTTAAAATACTCAGCCAGAGAGGTTCTGCGTCTCACTAAACTACAAACCCCAGAATTCTGCAAGAGGCAACCACAGGATTTCAGATGGGATGCATATTTTTTTGCCTACTCTTTCATCTCTGGTGTGATGATGGGAGAACAGTTAAATAAAATCTGCAATAACTACATTTGAAAAAGTCAAATAGGCAAATGTGGAGGGCTTATTGTACTTCTGGTGGTTGGACTGCAAAGACACGGGAATTTCCAAGAGCACCCAGGAAAATAGTTATATGTTTGTTCTCCATTTTCTGGCATCTATTTTTATGTTGTTATTTAAAAAAATAATTATAGTAGAGCAATAGCTCAGTCCTAATGCAATCCTATTCATGATTAATACTTTAAAAAAACCCACATGTTTCAGGAAAAGTTTAAAGATCTTCAATGTTTAAAGAGAAATATGCCAAAACAGGTAAATTTTGGAAGATGCATAGAAGAAAAAAGGTAGATGCAATGTGTCTATTTTGGATGGAAATGTGATGGTTCCTTAACAGCATTGTTATGTAATTGTGTAATTTCAGCTCTCTCCCCCCCCCTTTTTTTTTTTTTACAAAGTAGGTGAGTCATTGAGCATTGAGCAGGAGAATGAGTACATTGCATGGTATAAATGGGATTGTTGTATTCATAAGAAAGCAAATATGAGAAGTAATGTCATAAATGCTGTGATGGCATGAAAAAGTGTAATAAAAACTTTAGATATTATGAATATGGATAAATTAACCCAACGGATGAGTATAAATCAGAATTTGAAAATTTGCAAAACAGACTGGACACCAATAAAGAACTTTATAATGCAAGAAAACCTGAAATGGTTAATAGATATAAGATAATCTCAAGCATTAAATGCTCTTAGGATGAACCATAAGAAGGAGCTTGCCAAACCACTGTGATTGACTACCTGGAAAAAAAGGAAGATACACCCTAAGTGAAGAGGATTGGAAGTCATACTATATATTAACTCTAACCCAACCCTAACCCCTTCCCTATCCTTCTATCCTTCCGTTTCCCACCCCTAAAACACTCCCCTATCTAAATTTCTTCTATATCTTTCTTTCTATTTTCTTACTTTCCTATACCAAACACGTTTCATTCTTTCACCCTCCATTTGTGCCTCTTCAAATTCTGCAGCACTGCCGGTCACAGCTGACCTCCAACTGGAACACTCAAGGGCCAGGGCTTCCCAGTTCTCAGTGCCAGAGTTTTAAAGGTTGGCTTTGAGCCCATCTTTACATTTCTTTTCCTGTCCTCCAACATTCCGCTTTCCGTTCTTGAGTTCGGAGTAGAGCAACTACTTTGGGGGACGGTGGTCAGGCATCTGGACAATGTGGCCGGTTCAATGGAGTTGATGGTGGAGGACCATCGCTTCAATGCTGGTGGTCTTTGCTTCTTCCAGCACGCTGACATTTGTCCGCTTGCCTTCCCAAGAGATTTGCAGGATTTTTTAATATATAATTTATATTTATTCTTTTTTACTTATACAGTGAAAGAGGGGGAACATAACTCTAGAGAGAAAAGGTGGGGAAAATTAGAGCAGATATTGTGTAGTGAGGAAAGTGAAGGGTGGGTAGAGGGGCGGGGTGTGTGGGAGAGGTAGTTGGGGAGGGACGGGGATAGGTAAGAGGGGTAGGGAAGAGGGGGAAGAAAAAGTGTTTGACTCCCGTTCAGTCCGCAGGGAAGTGATCAACAGTTTTAGCAATTCTTCTTATATTTGCATTAGTCTGAGTTCTGTCTCATATGTAGCACCTTAAATATCCAGTTTAGTTTGTTTTCTTATGTATTCTCCCAAATGTTTCCAATTTGTTTGTTTCTCTCTGTTCTGTTCCTCTAATACTTGTGAGAGCTTATCTAAATCCCTAAATTCTATTATCTTTTTGATCCAGTCTTCATTGGATGGGGCTTCTTTGTTTTTCCACTTTTGTGCTATTAAGATTCTTCCCGCCGGCGATATGTAGAGGAAAATCCTTTCTTCATTTTTCTTTAGATCTAAGTCCATTTGCAGGATTTTTCAGAGGCAGTGCTGGTGGAATCGTTCCAGGAGTTACATGTGACATCTGTAGACAGTCCACGTCTCGCAGGCATATAGCAGGGTTGGGAGGACAATAGCTTTATAAACATCCCTCAAACACTCTCTGCTTCATTCGGAAAAAAGCTGCACTCGCAGAGCTCAGGCGGTGTTGTCTACACTGCCATATATCCCAATTCAAAGCAGGTAATGTGGGATTTTATTCAGATGTGTGGAAAGGCCCTAGGTGTGGTGAACTGGGGCTTGTATTGTATTTGAATCAAGCCTCTCCTAGAGGTGGAAGGATGGGGGAAGAACCAGATGAAATCCTTCCACACAGTTTAAAAGTACTTCTGGCCCTTTAAGAGGAAAGCCTGGCAACTACGCCCCGCCCCTCCCCGGTCCCTGCCGGCGCTACATCGTGACGTATTTTCCCGCGCGCCTCCCGCCTGCTGGGTCTCCACGTGGTTAGCGGTTCCCGCGATGGAGGGAGTCTTGCCGGAGGCGGGCCCTCCGCCGCCTCAGAAGCGCTTCTACCGGCAACGCGCCCACTCCAACCCGCTGGCGGACCACACGCTCCACTAGTGAGTCCCTGGCCTGCTCTTCAAGGAGAAGGGACGCAGTTTGACCTCGCCTTGGCTCAGTGCAATGCAATCAGGGCAGCTGGAGTTCCACAAAGTCTTTCAACCCAAGTGCTGGTGCCTCTCCAAACTACAGCTCCCACGAGTCTTTAACACTGAGCCCTGGCAATTAAATTGGGGTCAGACTGCATTCATTCGACTGCGTAGATGTATCCAAAGAATGGTCTTCAAATTGGAAAACCTTTAACTGAAAGATGGTCAGCCTTTTTTGATTTGGAGGATATTCAATTGCAGTGACTATAAGGCTCGGGCCCATTCTACACTACCATATAAAATCCAGATTATCTACTTTAAATTGGATTACATGGCAGTGCAGACTCATAATCCAGTTCAAAGCAGATAATGTGGATTATCTCATTTGGTAATCTGGATTATATGGCAGTTTAGAAGCAGTCTGGATCTACACTGCCCTATATCCCAGGATCAGATCCCAAATTATCTTATCCCACTGGAGACAGAGGGTCCTTCCACACAGCCCTATATCCCAGAATATCAAGGCAGAAAATCCCACAACATCTGCCTCTGAACTGGGTTATTTGAGTCCACATATTCCAGTTATTTATTTATTTATTTATTGTGTCAGAACAACCAGTCTAACAGAACAAAGCAAACAAACAGAAAAATACACAACTTGTGAGTTTGGTAGCTGGTTAAATGTCCTTTGACCAGTATCTGGCCACTTGGAGTGCTTCCGGTGTTGCTACAAGAAGGTCCTCCATTGTGCATGTGGCAGGGCTCAGGTTGCATTGCAGCAGGTGGTCAGTGGTTTGCTCTTCTCCACACTCGCATGTCGAGGATTCCACTTTGTAGCCCCATTTCTGAAGGTTGGCTCTGCATCTCGTGGTGCCAGAGCGCAGTCTGTTCAACGCCTTCCAAGTCGCCCAGTCCTCTGTGTGCCCAGGGGGGAGTCTCTCATTTGGTATCAGCCATTGGTTGAGGTTCTGGGTTTGAGCCTGCCACTTTTGGACTCTCGCTTGCTGAGGTTTTCCAGCGAGTGTCTCTGTAGATCTTAGAAAACTATTTCTAGATTTAAGTCGTTGACGTGCTGGCTGATACCCAAACGGGATGAGCTGGAGATGTCTCTGCCTTGGTCCTTTCACTATTGGCTGCTACTTCCCGGCGGATGCCAGGTGGTGCAGTACCGGCTAAGCAGTGTAATTTCTCCAGTGGTGTAGGGCGCAGACACCCTGTGATAATGCGGCATGTCTCATTAAGAGCCACATCCACTGTTTTAGTGTGGTGAGATGTGTTCCACACTGGGCATGCATACTCAGCAGCAGAGTAGCACAGCGCAAGGGCAGATGTCTTCACTGTATCTGGTTGTGATCCCCAGGTTGTGCCAGTCAGCTTTCGTATGATATTGTTTCTAGCACCCACTTTTTGCTTGATGTTCAGGCAGTGCTTCTTGTAGGTAAGAGCACGGTCCAGAGTGACTCCCAGGTATTTGGGTGCTGCAATGCTCCAGTGGGATTCCTTCCCAGGTGATCTTCAGAGCTCGGGATGCTTCTCTGTTCTTGAGATGAAAGGCACATGTCTGTCTTTTAGATTGCAGTTCAAAGCAGATAATTATATTTAATAAGTAAGAGTTCAGCAACCTTGACAGGGAAAATTTGGAAGTCAACAATCAACAACTTTTTATTTTTTTATTTTTCAGCAATTTTGCATGATCCCAGCTATATAAGTATATAAAATGGGTATAAACATAAATTATTTACTGATGATAAACCAGCATTCTCAAGGCTTGCTCAATAGGCTGATTGAAAAACTGTACTTTTTTCTGGAGTACAGTTGAAGCATTTTCTGCAGAGTCTACTGTAAACACCATACATTGTTGTTACCAGATCTGGGTAATTAGTAGTGTTCAGAAACCTTTGACTGTTGTGAATTTTTGTGACCCCAACATTGAGCTAAGAGGACCCCATTTGGGTTGGGACCCACAGTTTAAGAAGCAGTGGGCTAGACAATGCTACCATTAGGTGGATCAGGAAATGACTGACTAGCTGAACCCAAAGGGTGCTTCCCAGTGGCTCCTCCCTCTTCATCTTGGAGAGAAATCAGCAGTGGTGTGTCACAGGGGTCTGTTTGGGAATTAGTGCTATTCAGCGACTTGATCAATAACTTGGATGACAGGATAGAAGGCATGCTTATCAAATATGTGTATAAAACAAAATTAGTAGGCGTACCTAATACCTCAGGACAGGATCAGAATCCAAAATGACCTTAACAGATTAGAAACATGGGCCAAAACTATCAATGAATGTCAACAGAGAGAAATGTGTGATACTACACTTCGGCAATAAAAATGAAATGTACATAGATCAGATGGGTGATACTTGGCTTGAAAAGAGTCCATGTGAAAGGAATCTAGGAGTCCTAGTAGTCCACAACAGTGTGAAGCAGAAGTTAAAAATGTCAATGCCAGGAAGGCTAACTCTCAGTGAGTGAAGTGTATTATCTGAACTGATGAGTTCCTGCAACAATTGCATATGGTAAATTATTGCAAAATGTTTATTTATGTTTTATTTATAGTTGGTTTTATTGTTATTATTTGTATATGGTTGATTTATATTGTTTTGAAGTGTTGTGAGATGCTTTGGGTCCTGTTTAGGGAGAAAAGTGGGATTATTATTAATAATAATAATGCAATTCTGGGCTGCTTCAATAGGAATATAGTGTTGAGGGCAAAGGAAATCATAGTCCCACATTTTTTTTCTTTGGTCACATGTTTTGGATTTTGTTATACTTTACTGCACGACTAAGTGTTGTATCAGAATAAAATCTTAAATATAATTAGTACAGGAAGCCATTTTACTTTGTGAAATTTCCATTGACACCAATGGAATTTGCTTCTTAATAATTGTGGTCATGATTTGGACATAATCCCTAAATTATCTGGTCTGGGTCTTCTTTTGGTGCCAGATGGTCAAAACGTCTCTTGAAATGTGAGTCGCTGGAAGATTTCTTTGCGTATCAACTTTGAGTCTTTCCCTAGTTTTTTTTAAAAAAAATCCAATTGATCACAGGAAAAAAATGTGTTTCACAAAAGTTTTGTCATAGGCAAAAACTTTTGCCATTGGAAAAAGTGCTCTAAACCACTGCGTTTCAAAGTGTTGGCCAATGAACCACTTCTGGTCTGCAAACCATTGCATAGGAAGGATTGTAGCCATCAACACATATGTTATGCTGTTGCTTGGCCTATTGAATAAATAATTACCAGTTTCTCACATCAGATAACTGGAGATGTCCTGATCTAAACCATTTTAGGCCCCTTCCACACTGTCATCTAAAATCCAGATTATCTGCTTTGAACTGGATTATATGGCAGTATAGACTGATATAATCCAATTCAGAGCAGATAATGTGGATTATCTGCTTTAAGAATCTCGATTATATGACAGTGCAGAGTTCCTGGTAAAGGGTAATAACTAAAGCCTGAAACTTCTGTCTTAAAATTGAAATCATAAGAAGACTCCATAGGAAGCCTCAGCTACTCCATCCCTCAAAATATTTTTTCAATTGCTTTGACATATTGTCTGTTCTAGAAAACACAAACACTTGAGTGGTGTTTTGTAACTGTTTGATTTCCTAAAGTTGATGCGTGTTGAGTCTTCTCCCCTTTTTGACCACTATTGCAAACGTTGCTTTTCATTCATTTCTGTAGTTATTCTTTAGGAATGTCATTTCATGGAACTCCCTTGGTTTTTTTCCCCCTGTTAGTCCTGCCAAGCCTCAAGAAATGGACTGGTCCCTGCTGTTTCCAGATTTCTTTGCCCCTTTGACCAAAGACAATCAGCACGATGATCCAAAGGATGTGGAAGAGAGAACCAAGCCTGCATCGCAAGTAGAGTTTGCTGATATTGGCTGCGGCTATGGGGGATTGCTGGGTAATTTTACCCCCAGATATGTTTAGCGTGTTTTAACATTTTATCTGTGGGAGTTTGTTCAAAGTGTTATTGAGTGTGGTTCTATGGCTATAAGCTTCTAAAATCCTACCAGCTCTCCATGTTCACAGCCTTAGGGACACAGAATCTCTGCAAAAGTGCGCAAACTGGATAAATCATTTTTGAATCTGAGAGAATCTCTCTCTCAACATTTCTAGACCTGTCCAGCAGATGTTGGCCATACAGTTACACTGAAGGTCCTAGAGATTACTAGAGAGAACACATTAACCAAAGCCACAAGTAATTTTACCTGCAAAAACTAAACTAGTGGTTCTCAACCTGAGGTCCCCAGATGTTTTTGGCCTACAGCTCCCAGAAATTTGTGGAGTTTACCAGCTCCACAAATATGGAGGGCTTACTAAATTACATTCTAGAACAAGCATGGACAAACTTTGGGGATTGCATGCTAGCGCTCCCTGCTAGGAGGACAGGCTGTCCGGTGATGGAAGGAATGAAGGGAAGGAGGAAGAAAAGAGAGAAGGAAGGGAAAAAGGGAGGAAGGGAAGGATGGAAGGAGAAAGAGGGAGGGAAAGGAGGGAGGTATAGAGGAAGGAAAGACAAAAGGGAAGGAATGGAAGGAGAAAGGAAAAAAGGCAGAAGGAGGAAAGGAAGAGAAGGATGGAATGAAGGAATGAAGGGAAGGGCAAAGGAAGGAAAGGAAGGAAGGAGAAGGAGGGAAAGGGAGGATAAAGAGGCAAGGAAAGGACGAAAAGGTGGAAGGGAAGAATGGAAGGAGAAAGGGAGGTAAGGAGGAAGGAAAAACAAGGGAGGGAAGGATAAAAGGGTGGAAGGGAAGGATAGAGGGAAGAGAAGGAGGAAGGGAAGAGAGAAAGAAGGACAAAAGGGTGGAAGGGAATGGAGGGAGAATGCCTTAGCCCAGCCTGGCAGTAGCCAAGGGGCCTCCAAGGCGGGGACCAGCGGAGGCGGCATGGAGGAGGACGCTGCGAAGTAGGGATGCTCTGTCCACTCGGCACAACTCTTTGGCGGCGGCCTCCTCCTCAGCTGCTCCCCACCTCAGAGGCCCCTTGGTGTCAATGACGCCATTGCCAGTCTGGGCTCAGGCCTCAGACCAGGCCTCAGACCAGCCTCACAGTGGCGTCAACGGTGCCAAACGGTCCCTCCGAGGTAGGGAGTGGGGAGCAGTGGAGGCGGTGAGGAGGAGGAGGCTGCCGCCAAAAAGGGCTGTGCTGAGTGGGTGGAGCGTCCCTACTTCGTGAATTTTCATGCATGGTCCTTGAACGTATATCTAACACCGTTCTCACATTTTAGCTCAGATATCTGTCTGGGAGAAAGCCTGCTTGATCTCTATGTATTATTTTAGCTAAAATTTGTTTAAATTTGTTTGCTAAAATTTCTGCAAACAGCTTATAATTATTATTAACTAATGAGATTGGTCTATAGTTCTTCACTTGCTCCATGTCTCTATCTTGTTTAAGTAAAAGAACTATTGTGGCTTCCTGGCTTATGAGTTTTTTCTCATTAACAACACTTGCCATCTTTGTCAACACTCTAATCTCATTTTACTACATGTGTCCCAGTTTCCATCTATTGAATACTTCAGCTGTATATTATTCCCACCACTTTGATGAGATATGTTGACTTCTTCTATGTCGGGTTTTTTCTCGAAACTGTCCATAAGACATCTAATATGTTGCAGAAACCACTAAAGAGGCAAAGTCGGGGAGAGATATCACAACGGTCCTTGCTACGAGGCCTGGTTGCTGAGAAGGGAGGTTGTTGTTTCTGTTATAATGTGAATGAAAACAGATGTGGATTTGCAACATCCAGAAAGCACAAATGGCTTTGTCAAGATTGTGCCAGAAAGCACCCCAGATCAAATATTTCTGCAAGTTTGTGCAGAATACAAATGAACGAAAAGCACAGGCAGAGATTAGAAAGGAAAGCGGTTCACTGAGAAGTCTGTGATATTTGTGTGTCCTGACTGTTTTGGTGTTACTACAAATAACATAGAAAAAATTTATGATCCTCGAACATGGCTGTTTTTATACATATTTTTACTTTATTTGGTCTTCACTTCTGAAAAAAAGACTTTATGGAGAAGGAAGCGGAATTTAGACATGGTCGCTGTCTTCCATCCCTTTTTAGTTTTCGCCTTGAAAGCAGCTGAAGAGGACTTTTGGCATAGCTAGTAAAATCTTGTCTTCTGTTAGTCATAGAATTATAAATCTTCCAATCCAATATGAGAACAAAATGCCTCACTTAGGATCTGATACAATCTGTAGCAACAATAGAGTAAGGTGGGGCAAAGTTCAACAAGACAAATATGAGAAATTCCTATGATAACATACAAAAGCAAAACACTGTGTTTGATACAGAATTCAACAACCTGACATTTCCAGATTCTGCTAAAGAAGACCATTATGCCATGTTCTTAGGATGACAGCTCACTGGATATGGGCTGATTCCCACCAAAGTGATTTCCACACAGTGACATCAGGATTTATGTATAGTATCTGATTAAAATTGCCATGACATGCCTGTTGTGGTGAAACGCCCATCACTTCTTGTGATAAGGTGTCACTCCTCCCATTGGTGATGGGATAATGCTTGCATGATATATGAGTGTGGGTTGGCAAGTGTCAAAACCCAGAAACAAGTGAAAACATTTCAGTCTGAAGTTATTTCATTTGGGACATCCCAAGAAAGAAAGGCAGAACCCCTTAATGCTTACAACTGAATAATAATAATAATAAAAAGACCCCATGAAGTCATTTCAGGTTCCTGCCCCATCCTGTACAGGAAAAGTAATTAGTTTAGTGGGAACTGACTCCCAAGTATGTAAGCATGTCTTATGACCAGATACTTTTTTTTCCTTTTCTGTTAGTGAAACTTCCCCAAACTTCTAGAAGCAGTTTTGTGGGCGCAAGGCTGGTTGCAATGTGTGTATGTGTATTACTGTAAAAGTTAAGGAGCCCCAGTGGCGCAGTGGTTTAAACCCCTGTGTCGGCAGGACTAAAGACCAACAGGTCGCAGGTTCGAATCCAGGGAGAGCATGGATGAGCTCCCTTCTTCAGCTCCAGCTCCTCATGCGGGGACATGAGAGAAGCCTCCCACAAGAATAATAAAATATCAAACATCCTGGTGTCCCCTGGGCAACGTCCTTGCAGATGGCCAATTCTCTCACACCAGAAGCGACTTGCACTTTCTCAAGTTGCTCCTGACATGATAAAAAAAAACCTATAAAAGTTTAAAGCTTTTGTCTGCAAAGCTTGGGGGCTGGCATGGGCAACTTTAGGTCAGTGTTGTGGCCACCTTGTTTAGGAATTTGACTCTTAATTTGTGTATTTTACTCCTTATCAATTAACATTTCCAGTATCAGCTCTCTGCATCACATGTTTGGAGGTGGAGTACATTTAATGTGGCCATCTTAATTTAGTTCACAGTATGATCCCCCGTAATTGCAGGGGATATGCTCTGGACTTTGCATGCATAATAGATATGCAAAACTGTGGATAATAGTGAATAAACTGGGTTGTTGTAGGTTTTTTCGGGCTATATGGCCATGTTCTAGAGGCATTCTCTCCTGACGTTTTGCCTGCATCTATGGCAAGCATCCTCAGAGGATGCTTGCCATAGATGCAGGTGAAACGTCAGGAGAGAATGCCTCTAGAACATGGCCATATAGCCCGAAAAAACCTACAACAACCCAGTGATTCCAGCCATGAAAATCTTCGACAATACAATAGTGAATAAAACCACAGATATGGGGGATTGCTCTCAAAGATAGGGTGTGAAGGAGAAAGGGTGATACTAGTTCTCCTCTTCCATTGCTGATGGCCATTCTCCTTTTCAGTTGCCTTGTCACCTCTGTTCCCTAACACATTAATGCTGGGCTTGGAGATCCGCGTGAAGGTCTCGGATTATGTGCAGGACAGGATCCGGTCCCTGAGAGCATCTCATCCTGGGCAGTTCCAGAATGTCGCCTGCATTCGCAGCAATGCCATGAAGCACCTGCCCAACTTTTTTCAGAAGGGACAGGTGAGTTTTCAAAGAGCATTGCCGGCAGCTCTGTGGATAACAGAATGATTTCTCATGCCATTCTGGGCCCCCAAGAAGTATTTTTATGGCAGGTTTTTAATACCCTGGATGTTGCTCTGCCATTCGAATTCTCACTGTTTCCGGTAAGAGAGAAAGCTCTCTTCACAGTTCTTGGTGGGAATAATTTTTGGAAACCATGGATATTGAATCTCTAATTAGCAAGTCTTGCTCAAGAATGTTTTTTTCTTCTTTTTTGAAAATCATTGCATATGACACTGCCATGTCATGATCAGATAATTGGTTCCTTCTAATTTCCAACTATTGTGCATTCCAGCTTTGCCTCCACAACCCATTGACCCCTAGCTGTGCTTCACGGCTTATTATGACTACTGAAAGCTGCTCCATCACAATTGGCATATTGTGGTGATTTTATTCAGATAGTTCAAGTGAAATCATAGAATCATAAAGTTGGAAGAGACCTTGTGGGCCATCCAGTCCAACCCCCTGCCAAGAAGCAGGAAAATCTTGCAGTTTTTTCCAATGGTTATCATTTTATTTATTTATTTATTTATTTACAGTATTTGTATACTGCTTTTCTCACCCTGAGAGGGACTCAAAGCGGTTTACACATAAGTAATGGCAAAAATTTAATGCCAGTACAAACAATTACAATCATACACTACACTTAGACATAAATCAAGTTAAAAACAATACATCCATAAGCAATAAAACAATCATTAATACAATAAAACAGTCTTGTCCGTCGAATCGCTGTTCCAGTCATTGTCTTTCTAAAATGCTGCATACATTTACTTCTACTGCCCGAAGGTCTAGTTCCAAAACCATGATTTTAATTTTTTTTAAAAGCCAGGAGGGAGGGAGCAGATCTTACCTCATTTGGGAGTGTGTTCCATAGGTGGGGGGCCACCGCCAAGAAGGCCTGTCTCTCATCCCCGCCAGATGCATCTCTGCTGTTGATGGGAGCGAGAGCAGAGCCTCCCTGGGTTAGCTTAGATTACGAGGTGAGACGTAGGGGTGGATGCGTTTGGACAGGTAAGCTGGGCCAGAACCGTATAGAGCTTTATAGGTCAAAACCAGCACTTTGAATTGGACTCTGAGATGGACTGGCAGCCAGTGGAGCAACCTGTGTGTTGAGGCTGATGGGAATTGTCTGACATTGGTGGATTCTACTTGCTAAAGGTTGGGCTAGATTCCCTAAAACTTTCATAAAAAATCTTTCACAATCCATATTTGTTTGTTTTAATGCCAGAAGTTATAGAATCTTTCATAGTACAGTGTTCCCTCACTACTTTGTAGTTCGCTTTTCGCGGACTCGCTGTTTTGCGGGTTTTTTCCTCCCAGATTATGAATGATTCCAGTTGCTCAGAATGGCGTTCTAATCCCGCCTCCTGGCAACAATGGAGTGTGGAAGGGGGTTTCACTCTCCCCTCGGGAGAGAGGCAGCCAATGAGGGCAGACTGCAAAGCAAAGCAGAAATAGCTAGCAAAAAAAGGTGCGTGGTGCCTTTAAACCTCTCCTCACTTCTGCCTCACCTCAGAACTCAATATACATATATAGCATCCTTACTTCACAGATTTCCACTTTTCGCAGGTAGTCCTGGATCGTAACACCGTTCTTCTGAACCAGATGTTTTGGGTTTAATTTCTCCAAATCTCTGATTATTATACATGCTGGTTGGAAGCCCATATAATACAAGGGGGCAGAGGTAGGAATTGCTGATCTTCAGCCTATGTGCACAGCATGCGCGGTGCTATTGAATGCAGTCTCATTCCTCTGGGGAAGGAAGAGAAAGATGCTTGCCCTTCTGGTAATCTAGGCAAGTTCATTTTGGAGGCAAATTATGATTAGTATGGTCTTTTGAATTGTAGATGGTTGCATGAAAAATGATGGGGGGTGTTTTTCTTTCATATTCAGCTTTGCAAGATGTTCTTCCTCTTCCCCGATCCTCATTTCAAGAAGACGAAACACAAATGGCGGATTATCAGCTCGACTTTGCTGGCAGAGTATGCTTATGTCCTGCGGGAAGAGGTAAGCAAATGAATGCTACCTGGGGTCACTGGAGCCCTCTGGCCCTCTTACAGGATTGTAGATGAAAATCACCAGTGGTTAACAAATACGTTGTTAGCCCCAAGGAATTTTTACTAGCTCCCAACCTATCCAGGCACTTTTGGTGGATTTTGACTCAAAAAAGCTTCTTAGCTGGAATTTCATGTAACTCACTGTAGACAACTAAGCAATTTTTTTTCATGCCAGGAGCAACTTGAGAAACTGCAAGTCGCTTCTGGTGTGAGAGAATTGACTGTCTGCAGAGACATTTCCCAAGGGATACCCAGATGTTTTACCATCCTGTAGGAGGCTCCTCTCATTCCCCGCATGGGAAGCTGTAGCTGACAGATGGGAGCTCACCCCACTCGGATTCAAACCGACAGCCTTTCGGTCAGCAGTCCTGTCAGCACATAGGTTTAATCCATTGTGCCACCAGGGGCTCCTAACTAAGCATATGACTGGAAGCATGGATTATTAGGAGGTTTGAATAGTAGGGTTTTTTGACTGTTGATTGATCTGGCTTCGTAGTATCAACTCTGACAGGCAGCAGGTCTTGGAGGTCTCAGGCAGAAGGTAGTCCGCAATCCTACTTCTCATAGCAAGCTCTGAATTTGTCCCATGAATGTCATGTTTTCTAGTAGGCCATGAATCTACCCCATGCTAGTCCTGTTGGTGTCCCAGAAGTTATAAACATGGTCCTGAATGTGCTCCTTCAGGCCATCCTCCAGTTTGTGACACTCATGTTGGGAACCTGCCCTGGGCTTTATTCTGAACTTTGAAGGTAGCATCCAAGGCACCGAGCCTGATTTGAGGATAGTGCTTGAGCAGATTCTCTGAGGATTAGGCTAAAACTTTGAGTGGGTTTATTTCTCTGCCCCCCCCCCAGATGTGGAGATTGGCAACCCTACCCCTCCCCCCAGATGTGGAGATTGGCAACCATCAATGAATCTTCACACAGATGGAAAGTTCATCAGATCAGGTTGTCCCTCACCTGGACTCCCAAGAGCCTGGGGCTCCTCCTATAAGAGAATGGTTGGCAACAGGACAGGTTCTTCCTTTGGCTCAGCATTGTTTTTCGTTTCCGTTCCAGAGTTTCTTGAATCTCACTTAGAGAAGACAAGGTTCCTTCATGAGATCAGTAATAGCAGGCACCTTTCCCTGACAAATGGTTTGGCTGCCAAAGCCAGTCTGCCCCAACGGCATGCAGCTGTGTTGACACACCTCAAAAAAGTCTTCCACTTTGTTCTGTGCCATATTTTCACACAAACCAAAGAATGTGGTACAGAACCAGAGCTCAGTGTTGGGGCATTGGCTTTGTAGACAGAGGTTTCCATCTTAAATCTTGGCATTGGCACACAGAAGACTGGGCAACTTGGAAGGCGCTGAACAGACTGCGCTGTGGGACCATGAGATGCAGAGCCAACCTTAAGAAATGGGGCTACAAAGTGGAGTCCACAACATGCGAGTGTGGAGAAGAGCAAACCACAGACCACCTATTACAATGCAGCCTGAGCCCTGCCACATGCACAATGGAGGACCTCCTTATAGCAACACCAGAGGCACTCCAAGTGGCCAGCTATTGGTCAAATGACAATTAATAGAATGCTAAGTTTTAAAACTTTGGTTTTTTTTCAAATACATCGATTCGCTCTTGACATGATAGATAGATAGATAGATAGATAGATAGATAGATAGATAGATAGATAGATAGATAGATAGATAAATAAATAAATAAATAAATAAATAAATAAATAAATAAATTTAAAAGGATGATGGGAAAGTCAGAGTTCACCAAAAGTGGGCAGATCAACCAGTAGATCCTGGTGTGTTTTGCCGTAGATTGATAAGAGTTTGTGATTGTCATTTGTTTAGCAGTAGCAACAACAGAAAAGATTCCACACACACACACACACTCCAGGCACACATAGCCTGGATTGCCGAAAAAACGTGAATGGGATGTGAAGTAGATTTTTGTGTGAAAGGACTTGGTTCCTGTGTTCAACATCTCTGAGGCATCTGTTTTCTCTAATTGTTAGCACGAGTCCCTTTGCATGTCAGCTCTGACCGAAGGATATCAGGGTTTCCGTAAAGAATAAAGCACATGCTACAAGCCTTTCCAGCTTTGGAGTCAAGGTAGCCCAGCAGCCAGATTAATAACGGGGGCGAATTACAGGGAAAGATCAACTCCCCTGTTTAAGGAGCTTCACTGGCTGCCATTTGTCTTCTGGTCCCAATTCAAGGTGCAGGTTATCACCTACAAAGCCCTAAATGGTTTGGGACCCACCTACATTTGTGACCCGATCTCTCTCCGTGAACCAGCCCGAGCTCTTAGATCCTCGGGGAAGGCTCTCCTTTCGCCCCTGCCATTATCACAGGCTCATCTTGTAAGCACAAGGGGGAGAGCCTTCTCCTCTGGCCCCTCGAATCTGGATCTCATTGCTCAGTGAGATTAGGAAGGCCCCACCTTAGAAATTTTCAAGAGGGATCTCAAAACCTGGCTTTTCCGTTGCGCTTTTGGAGAGTAGCCATATTATCTTTATTTTGGACTCATATGTTGTATGTATTTTACTGTGTTGTTATTGTGTTTTGGTTTTACTTTATTGTAATATGCTGTTAGGCTTGGTCTCATGTAAGCTGCCCCGAGTCCCCATTGGGTAGATGGTGGCGGGGTATTAAATAAAGATGATGATGATGATGATGATGATGATGATGATGATGATGATGATGATGATGATTATGAAAGTACTGGGCTAAAATGGATGAACTGTCAATATATACCTTGGGATATGGCTGCTCCCTATTGCCCACTTGCATTCCATGTGTCCTAGCACTCTTCCTCCTTCTCCATCCTCAGATAACTCTTTTAGTACAGAAGGGAGGACTTCTGAGGCAGTTTTTCAGAGCTTCCTCAGCCACTGGATGACTTTGAAGACAAAGAGTTTGAAAACCACTGGGCAGGTCCTGAGCTTGGGGGAATTTGTTTTTTAGATGACCACATCCAGAATTGACCCTACCAGCTGGACGGATTCCAGAAGATTCCATCTTTAAAAGCAGGGCAGAGGAAGTCATCTGGTGGCACCCCATTCTGTCCAGGGGGCACCATCAGTCTCGACATTTCCTTCCTTCCGGAAATACCAAGGGAGTGTGTGACTGAAGATGTGCCCATACTTTCGCCCTAGGGCCTCTCTTCTGTCAATCCCTCTTTCCCCCCTGTGTTTTCCTGGAGGTGGCTCTTAATTGACACTACGCAGGGGAAAACTTTTTAAAAACCAAAAATAATTAATCTTTCTCTCAAAATCAAGGTGTGTCGACATAGCCTGGAGCCTGTGGAAAGACGGCTTGGGAATTTCAAATCTGGGAAGAAGGGAAGGGCTCTAATGACTGCTGAGGGGTAAGGGATTAATTTTCCCCTCTATCCAGCGGGAGGCCTGTGCTGGCAAGGATCCTTGCCGGCAAGGGGGTTGCTTCACTTCCAAGTCCTGATCTCAAATGCAGAGCCTCCAGGGCACCCTGGCTGACTCCGCTTTCACCTGCCAGAGAAAAAACAGGGAGTGCTCTGTCTCCCTCTCTTCCTCTCTCTGTGTAGGCACTTCTTGGGGTTTAAATCCGGGAGATCTTATCGGGGTGATGAATCAGCATCTGGCCTCACCCAGAGCGGGAATGAATCACCCCAACTCTTCATCGTCTCTCCTCAGGCAGTCGCTATGGAGAAAGACGTGGGCACAGTACTCTGCCAGCCCTCGCAAGTGTTTTGCATGCGGGGTGACGGTGGTGGCACAGAGATTGGGATCGCTGTGCCACAGGTTGCAATGATGTCAATATTTTCAAGGAGGATGAATGGCTGTTTTGAGGAAATGCATCCCAAATAAGGGATAGAGAGCCTGTGTCATTGGACTATAATTTCCATCACTGCTGTTTCATAGAGTCATAGAGCCAGGACACATGGGCCACCCAGTCCAACACCCTGCCATGCAGGAAAAGCACAATCAAAGCACCTCTAAAAGTTGACCATCCAGTCTCTATTTAAAAGCCTTCAAGGAAGGAGCTTCAACCATCCTCTAGAGAGGTTGAGAGTTCCACTGCTGAACAGCTCGCGAGTTCTTCCTGATGTTCAGGTGGAATCTCCTTTCTTGTAATTTGAATCCATTGCTCCATTGAATCCTAGTCTCTAGGGTTGCAGAAAACAAGGCTTCTCCCTCTTCCTTGACATCCTTTCAGATATTTAAACATAGCCATAATGTCTCCTCTCAACCTTCTCTTCTGCAGGCTAAACATACACAGGCATATTCTCCAGACCTTCAGTCATTTTAGTTGCCTTCCTCTGAACATCTTCCAGCTTTTCAATATCTCTTTTAAATTGTGGTGCCCAGAATTGAACACAGTATTCTAGGTGAGATCTGAGCAAAGCAGAATACAAAGGCACCATGACTTCCCTCAATTTGAACACCATACTCAATTTGGTCTATGACTGTGTGAATCCCATTGGCTTTTTTAGCTGCTGCATCACACTGCTGGCTCATGTTCATCTTGTTGTCCTCAAAGACTCCAAGATCTTTTTCACGTGGACTGTTGTTGAGCCAGTTGTCACCCATTCTGTATGTTTGCATGTCATTTTTTTCTGTTTAAGTGAAGTATCCTACATTTCTCCTTGCTGAAATTCATTTTTTTATATTTTGTCCCAGCTCTCTTCTGGAGTATTAGCTATCTTTCCTAATTTGGTGTCATCTGCAAACCTGAGAAGCATGCCCTCAAAACCTTCATCTAAGTTGTTAATAAAGATGTTGAACAGGACTGAATTGTTGGGCAAGTGGGCTTATTAACAAAAGACCTTCATAAATGTACAGCAGAGTAACTTCGCAGCAGCACTGTGACACACCAGTTGCCCAAAGTGATAAAAAGAACAAAAACACACAGGCCAATGTTATCTCTTCCATAGGAAGCTTTTCTTTGTAGTAAAATAATATGATTACACTATTTACAAAAATAAGGTTTCCATAACACAAATAAACAAATACATAGTAGCTTTGCACACAGCAGCCTTCTCACCTTTCTCACACAAGGCTTCTTTCACACAGAGGTTTACGTCACACTCCTCAGGATGACACTAGCTTTGGCCCACTGACTCTAACAGGCTTCAGCCTAATAACTCTTACAATGCTTGATTCACACTTTTGTAATCAATAATACCCAGTTATTTTTTATAATTCTGATACAAATCCTGTGGTGCTCCGCTAGTCACTTCTTTCCAGGATGACGAGGATGACGAGGAATTATTGGCAAGCACCCTTTGGGTTCAGTCACTTAACCAATTACAAATCCATCTAATCGTAGTATTGTCCATGGGGCAGTGGTTTTCAACCTGGGGTCCCAAGATGTTTTTGGCCTTCAACTCCCAGAAATCCTACCAGCTGGTAAACTGGCTGGGATTTCTGGGAGTTGTAGGCCAAAAACACCTGGGGACCCCAGGTTGAGAACCACTGCCATGGGGGACTTTGTCAAAGAATTACTGAAATCAAGATATGCTACATCCACAGCATTCCCTGCATCTACCAAGCTTGTAACGCTTAGCAAAAAGAAACCAAGTTAAGATTAGTGTGGCATGACTTGTTTTTGAGAAATCCATGCTGATTTTTAATGATCACAGCATTCTTTTCTAAGTGATTGCAAACTGCCTCTTTAATGATCCACTCGATAATCTTTCCTTCTTTTGATGTCAGGCTGACTGGGTGGTAATTCTTTGGTTCCTCTTTTTTTCCTTCTTGAAGATAGGGACAACATCTGCCCTGCCTTCGCCAATCTGCTGGAACTTGTGTTCGCCAAGGTTATTGCCAGTGGTTCTCAAATTAGTTCCTTCAATACTTTTGGATGTAGTTCATCTGTTCCTGGTGACTTGAATTCATTTAGAGTAGCCAGGTATTAATTGATTACTTCTTTACCTATTTTGGATTGCACTTCCCCAAATTCCTTATTCACTCCGTACTGCTCAGATCTCTGGACATGCTTGTCTGTTGAGAACTGCAGTTGAGAATATCTGGTATTTAGAACTTCCTTATTCCTTGTATTTTTCTAAATGTTTTTTTTCCTTGCTTCCCTTTTCTTGCCTTTCAGGAATATTTTTATCTCTAGATATCTTATCCGGTGGACCATGGGGAACTCCTCCAACATCTATATTTGTCTTTTCAATTTGTCCTTTTCTTTCTCATTCACCCAGGGTCTGGTATACACCATCACAGATGTAGAAGAAGTACATAAATGGATGGTTACACATTTTGAAGAACATCCCCTTTTTGAGCAAGTGCCGCTGACAGACCTGGTGAGAGAAAACGAAAGTGTGCGTATGAGTGTGCAGTTTCTGATGTAATAGGTTTTGTAGTCCTGAGCATGGTTCTTGAGACAATATTATTATTTGTATTACAGCTCATCATATGTTGCATACATACAGATTTAATATGCATGAGGTGGAATCTTCCATTTATTGTAATATAAATAATAAATCATTATTGCTCATAAGCCTTATAAACATACATTAATTAGTTTCACATTTAACTAAGGGACAGGAAACATGTGATGCAACCACTGGTGTCCTTGTCATTCTAAAAGTACAAAATGTTTCCCACATTTCTCCAGAAGATAAAGCTTTCCTTTCCCTCACTTCCTCCTTTTATAACACATGCTTATGTTGGAAGGGTTGTTCTGTAAATCCCCGGTATACCCATGGGTTCTAGGATTTGTGATTCAGAAAGTAATAGCGCAACTGGGAAGGCTTGTGGTCATGAGAAACAGCACATACGCTGGATTAAAGTAATTTGGTATAATCGAATGTTCTACAGCGAGTTAACAGGTGTAATAGGAGTCCCCAGTGATGCAATGGGTTAAACCCTTGTGCCAGCAGAACTTCTAACCAAAAGGTTGGTGGTTCAAATCCAGGGAGCGGGATGAGCTCCTGTCTGTCAACACCAGCTTCCCATGTGGTGACATGAGAGAAGCCTCCAACAGGATGGCAAAACATCCAGGCGTTCCCTGGGCAACGTCCTTGCAGACGGCCAATTCTCTCACACCAAAAGCAACGTGCAGTTTCTCAAGTCACTCCTGACACGGGAAAAAAAGTGTAATAATAGATTCACCTTGAAATCTAGCTTAATTGGATGTAAGCCTCATTGGGTTCAGTGTGGCTTAGTCCCAGTAAATATAGACAGGATTGTTGTTTAAAAGGCATGTATATGAAGAATGTTTGCAGTAAAAAAAAATCTGGCATGTTTTTTCACTCACAAAATGTATTTATAAATTGGGAATGGCAGAAGGGAGGTGTTAATGCAAGGATGAAAAAATTGTGGTCTTCCAGATATTGGTGGGCTAAAGCTCCACAAACCTCCACCATTGCTTTCTTTGCAAAGTTTGATGTACATTACAGTCCAATAACATTTGGAGGACCATACGTTCCTCACTTCTCCAAAGCCCCACTACTTCATTATCTCTGTATTGCCTATCCCGGCCCCTGCAAACGTGTTTGACTCAAATCTCCATCATCCTCAGCCACCATGGCATTTTGGGGGTTGTAATCAAATACATCTACAGGGCGGAAGATCCATGCTAAGTCATGGATTTTGGTGAGGCGGTGTCTTCTTCAAAGAGGAGGAACAATTATGAACAAGAAGGAATGTGTCATTTGTGAGTATGTATGTGTTATGACTTCCATTTAATAACACACGCATTTGTTCCCTCAACAGTCCAGTGACCCCATTATTGACCTCCTGGGCACCTCGACTGAAGAAGGGAAGAAGGTCCAGAGAAATGGAGGGAAAACCTTTCCAGCTGTCTTCCGGCGCATCAGCGACACAACACAGGAAGTGGCGGCAACATGAGTGGGGATTTCCTGAGCCTGCTCTGGAGTCACATTCTCCACGTCTTCCTGAGAAGAGAAAGCGCTTCAACTTATGGGTTGCATCAAGAATGAAATGGGCTGAAAGGGTCACACTGGAGTCAAGCATCTATAAATACAGCTGGGAAAATACCCAGAGACGCGCCTACGGGCTTGCTTGTGTTATTGTATTTTGCCCATAGAAGGTGCTGGGTGGGATATATGGCCTTCATGAATAGAAGTGGGAGTTTTAGACATGAATCCCAGGACCAATAGTTATGAGACAAAATTGTGTCGTCTCCCAATCCACAGTATATTTATAACATTATTTGTCAATGAGTAATAAATCCCAAGATACAGGAAGTAGTTCTGTGTTATTGAATCCAGCCTGCAGTCATTAGCAGAGGGCCAGCATGATAGTAAGTCTGTATCACACTCTCGGTGTTAAGAGTAAGGTCAAGGCAAATTCTCTGTGAATTAATCTTGCCATGATAGGGTTGCCACAAGTCAGAAAGTACTTGAAGGCATCCAACAATAATTGAGATGCAGATGACTAACATGATTTGAGGATGAGATTTTTGAAAAGACCACTAGTCTTATTCTCCATCGCCTAGATTGCAGGAAAAATTATCTCCTTGCCCCGATTTCTGATTCTGCGTTGTCAACCATGAGCCTTTGCTACAACTACTCAATGTTTATATATATAAAGATGAAAATCCCAAATGTTTTGTGGCAGCCACAGTTGTACAACGTGCTACATCGGGAACGGTGATAAGAGTGGCACTAATAATTACAATAGTTTTGTTCTTAGAGAAGACGAATTCTGCAAAGCCATTGATTAAACCAGTGGTTCCCAACCTTTTTTTTTTTTTTTTTGACCAGGGACCACTTTAACCAGGGACCCATCTCCAACATTAGTACCAAAAGGGTTACGAATCAGTTTTTGGTCAACTTTAGATTCGGTTTGGTTATTTAGGGTGCTGATTCAGAAAATTGCATTGGATAGATCACATCAGCTCTAGTTTCTGATACAAAACATATGTTATCCAGTAATCATCATCTGCTCGTCCACAGAAAATCTTATTTAATCAGCTTCAGCATTGGCACTATAAGAGGGTTTTGCAAGACCAGTTACTCTTGTTGCAGCGCTGTGGTAACGGTGAGGCCATGGACCATATTCTAGTTCTTGCGGACCACTGGTGGTCCATGGACCACAGGTTGGGAACCACTCCTTAAAACCAACCTTTATAAAGTCTATATTTTACCTGTCCGCATGCATATCACCACTTGAAATACTAAATAACCCTTTTGAATTCAGGAGATATTTTCTACACAATTTCAGAGCTATATTTGCATTAAAAGAAACATTATTAAAATCATGTTTTTTTCAAAAAAATGTGGCTGCTCAGGGTATTGAATGTTGTAATAACTGTGGAAATTGTTTAAAGTTAATAATGAATTTTAAAATAGATGACGAAGACACTGAAATAGCTCAAGGTTTTCCATACCTTGATTCAGTAAATAAGTGTAGGTTCTCCAGTCAATAAATCAGAAGGCTAGAACTTGGAAGAGCATCTATGAAGGAACTAGACAAGATCTTGAAATGTAATGTTACACCACAGTCAGAATCATTGACAGTGTTTCAGATTTCTGTATGGTTCTGAAAGCTGGGCAGTGAAAAGGTTTGAGAGGAAGAAAACTGACTCATTTGAAATAAGTGCTGGAAAGAAATACTTTGTATACCCTGAACTGCCAAAAAGACAAATGGACCTTTGAGCAAATGATGCCTGAGCAATCCCTAGAAGCCAAGAGGACTATACTGGGATTGTTGTACTCTGGACATACCAATTTATGGACTCACTATAATGGTTAATGATACTTTCTTTGTGAGTTTCAAAGGAGGAAGACTGCCTTATAATCAAGGAATCCATGGCCCCAAGTCTGCAAGATATATGCCAGACTTTGGATAGGGTGACTTGAAGGCCTCTCATTTGTAGGGTCACCATTAATTAAGTTGATTTGAAAGCAGTAAAGGTTATCTTCTGACATTAAGTCCAGTCATGTCCAACTCTGAGGGGTAGTGCTCAACTCTATTTCTAGCAGAAGAGCTGGCATTATCTGTAGACGCCTCTAAGGTCATGTGGCCAGCATGACTCCATGGAGCACTGTTACCTTCCTGCCAGAGCGTTACCTATTGATCTACTCACATTTGCATGTTTTCCAACTGCTAGGTGGGCAGAAGCAGGGGCTGACAGCGGAAGCTCACGCCGCTTCCCGGATTCGAAACTGTGACCTTTCGGTCAACAAGTTTAGCAGCTCAGCGGTTTAACCCACTGCGTCACCAGGGGTTCCTTGAAAGCAGTAAACAACAGCAAATGAAACTTCTGGACTTGGGTGAAATCAGAAGGTGCATTAAGAGAACTGTGCGTAGTATCCTAATTTCTCTAGATACTCTCTTCAGATAAGGACATATTTTCATTAAAAGGATGAATCATTGCCAAAAAGGGATACAGCAAGGCAATAGGCTGCATGCGTACACACCTGTGAGTGAGTTCTCCTGAAGCTGAGCTGTTGAATGAGCCAGGCCTGAGTCACCTTTGCCTGATTCCCCAGCTCTTACGTTGTACTAGTACTGCCTGTGGAGTTTGCCCAACGGGTGGTTGGCTTCCAACCTGGTTGCAGGACTGGGGTGAAAATTCTTTCCTGGTGCCTAATGGAGCAAATGGTAATTCCTAGGATGTGGAGTGGGGAAAGAGCGGGAAGACGGGCACAAAGGTGCAGAATGAGAGATATCTGGTCTGGAATTAGGACGGATGAGTGGACATATGAGAGTATGTAAACATCAGGGTGATTAATGCAGAAACTAAGGTGATGTTGCCTTACTTGGAGTTTTTCAAGGACCCTTATTACTACAACTGAGCAAACTGCATTTGGGGCTTTTTTTTTTTTTTAGTTCTCCAAAGCTCTTTCTTTGTCTAAGCAAGCCAGAACAAATTACATAAACAGTGCTTCCCTGGCCCTTAACCAAACAGAGATGTAAAGAAGAAACAAAGTTTTGGCCTAAACAATTTTTTGCCCAAGCAACTTTTTTTTTCATGCCAGGAGCGACTCGAGAAACTGCAAGTCGCTTCTAGTGTGAGAGAACTGGCCATCTGCAAGTACATTGCCCAAGGGACACCCAGATGTTTTACCATCCTATTGGAGGCTTTTCTCATGTCCCCACATGGGAAGCTGGAGCTGACAAACAGGAGCTCACCCTGTCTTACAGATTCGAACTGCCAACCTTCAGGTCAGCAGTCCTTCCGGTGCAAGGGTTTAACTCATTACGCCACCTTGGCTCCTGCCTAAACAACTGACCAGTTGCCATTAGCTTTGGGGGCACTTTTTATTGTAATCCCTGCTGGTACATTCACCTGAAGAAGGTCATTAAATATTGCTGGGCCAAAATACATTGGGATAATTCCTTTATCCGATTTGTCATCGATCCTCTCCTTTGAGCTTCACGCAAATCTACCATTTGTCAAAATATATGGTCCTGTGCAATTCTTTTCTATATCTGACTGAACAGCTTAAATTCAAAGAATTGGGATAATTGTAACAATAAAAGTGACGTTCAACACCTTTTGTGTCTTCTCTAGTTGCCTTCTATTGGTTATTTTCTGTATTCCCAAGCTTCATAATAGCAAATCTGAGTTGTTTGATATCACATCTTTGATCATAGGAAGATTAATACTAGGCAATCTATAGTAAGCTCTCTAGTCTTAGATTACTTCCTACAACATAAGTAAAAAATTCAGTTCTATGTCTGGAGAGGAAATGCATTGTTTTCTTTACTTTCCCCAAACCTCTGGGATTAAGAGAGTTGTCCTAACAGAGAAGTTTATTCAGGTACCCCCTGGGTCTAAAGCCAATGAAAGGATCCAGATTGGTAGCTTTTCTATGCCATACCACTACTTCATAAATGAAAACAAATATTCATGAAGAAGATTCCATATTCTTGATTATTTATTAGTGGCTGTCCAATTGGTTATCACTAGGCTTTGGAAAGATTAAAGAGTTTCCGTGTGACAACCTGGTATAATAAGACATGGCAACTAGCTGTGATGGAAAAATTAAGTCCATACTTACTTTACTAACTTAGCCGATCCCTCGTAGCCCAAGGATGACGGTCCTCCAAGTGCAGTGTCTTTGTGGTGTTTCCATAGGTGGCTGTGGAGTCCTGATCTTGATCTGCATGTTCTCCCACAGCAAGGACATTGGTTTTCAGACGGAAGGTGGTCCCAGTCAGGGTTGGCTTGGTGGGCCTTCCTCTTGGCACATTTCTCCCTTTTGCCCTCCATTCGAGCCTCTTTGAATTCTTCAGCACTGCTGGTCACAGCCAACTTCCAGTTAGAGTGCTCAAGGGCCAGGGCTTTCCAGTTCTTGGTGTTTATGCCAGTTTTTAAGATTGGCTTTAAGCCCATCTTTTCCTGTCCACCAATATTACACTTCCCTTTCTTGAGTTGGGAGTATAGTAACTGCTTTGGGAGATGGTGATTGGGCATTCGGATAACATGGTCAGTCCAGCGGAGTTGATGGTGCAGGAACATCGCTTCAATGCTAGTGGTCTTTGCATCTTCCAGTATGCTGACATTTGTCCGTCTGTCATCCCAAGAGATAAAATTAAGTAATGAACTTCAGATAGCTAAAGGGAAGAAAGAAAAACCCACAGTTTTATTGTGAGTTGCAACTGCTTTGTTGAGAGAAGGGAAGAGAGAGAGAATGCTAGTTTTTCATAAGGCATTGAAGTGTTTTTAGTTGCCATATCTTATTATAGCTGATTGGATAAAGTAAAAATGTTGTCTTCTTTTATATTGATATCTTGGATATCAATATCAATTTTCTATCACTGTTGTATGGATAGATCTGGGATGATGTTACAATATAAAATCATTTTAAAAATTAATTTTCATTTCAATTCACAGCACTTTTAGTTGAAAGCATTTCTGGGGGTTGCTGAAAGGGAAGAGAGGGCTCCATCTCTGTTGGAAACTTTTGAAAATTTTATTGCCAGACTGAGAACACAATATTGGACTAGACAGGCATGTAATGTAACCTGATTATGAGAGAGCTTCCTGTCTTCTCGGCCTTTTAAACTTCAGCCACTTTTCAATATTGTGGGAGGAAGCTGCTGAAAATTGGTGTGATTGGTATGCAGTTTGCAGGCTGGGGGAAAATGAGTAGGACCGGTTGTGACAATGGGGGATTGCAGGAAAAATACAGAATGTGGCAATGCATCTAAAATCCCAGTTTCCTGAATGCATCCGGTGTGTTTTATTTGAGCACATTACCAGCAGGAAAGATAAGCTATTGGGAAACACGAA